AAACTTTCGCTCAAATTATTTAATAACCCTTTGCTTAAATTGCTTATTAACCTTTGCTCAAAATTATTTTTTATATAACTTATTAAACCTTCATTCGAATTATTTACTAACCATTGCTTAAATTGCTTTAAATCTTTGCTTAAATTGCTTATTATATCTTTGCTCAAATTATTTAATAAACCTTTATTCAAATTACTTATTCAAATACATATTTAAACTTTATTTAAATTATAATTTTTTTTTATATAACTCGCTAAGCCTTCAATTAAATTATTTATGAATTTTTACTTAAATTACTTGTGAAATCTTCACTTAAATTATTTTTTTCATATTATTTACCAAGCCTTACTATTAAACCTTTATTAGAATTATTTTATTAAAATTATTTATTAAGCATTCGCTTAAACCTTTGCTCAAATTATTTAATAAACCTTTACTCAAAACCTTCACTTAAATTACTTATTAATTTTCACTCAAATTATTTTTTTATATAACTTACTTTTGTATTGCTATCGCAGCCATGGCTAATCATTACATGAGGTCTTTGTATTGCATAATACTTGCTTTAAGCAACTTAAGTGCCTAATTTATGTATTAATTCTTTTATTTATCGGGTATAAGATTTTTTTTAAATTAACTTTTTTTTATTTTTTTTAAACTATTATTTTTATTAAGTTTTTTTTTTTAAAATCATTCCGGTCTTTTTATTTTTATTTTTTTTTTTTTATAATGCTAGTTTTTTTTTTAATTTGACTTTTTTTAAAAAAAATTATTATTTTTCTTATTTTTTATTATTTTATTATTTTTTTAATTGCTTTTTTATTTAATTTTTTTTATTTTTTTAATTGTTTTTTTTAAAAATTTTTTTACTATTTTTTTTTTTTATTAGTTTAACCGTTTTTTATTTATTTTAATTTATTTAATTTATTTTTATTTAATTAATTTATTTTATACGTTATATGTATATTGTGATTCGGATTTCATATACATAATCCAATTTTGCGAGACTACAAAAGTGGCGAGGTCACATGACTTTCGCTCTTTCGCGTTTTCGCGAAATTAGCAAAATTCAAACTCCGATTTGGTGGAGTTTGAAATTGGGCCAATTTCGTGAGAACGCGAAAGAGCGAAAGTCATGTGACTTCACCACTTGATCGGAGTTTTAAATCTCTGATTTGAAAAATTTTTTACCCACGCGTACCCGCTTACGCGGGGTACGCGCGAGTACGCGCGGGTATACACTTTTTGCTTGCTTGCGCAAGCAAAAAGTGTGACATTTTTTCAATTAGTGACCGATTACGCGCTTTAGTTTAGTGTTGATTAACTAGCTCTTAGCACCAGGCATTGCCCAGGTTTGAGGTCTTAATGTTATTCTAATTCTTAGATTTTTAATTATATTAGCTCTTAGAACCCACATTGCCCAGGTTTGAGTTTCTAATGTTTTTCTAATTTTTAGATTTTTAATTATATATATTAGCTCTTAAAACCCAGCATTGCTTGGGTTTGAGGTTTTAATGTTATTCTAATTCTTAGATTTTTAATTGTATTAGCTCTTAGGACCTAGCATTGACCGGGTTCGAGGTCTTAATATTATTCTAATTCATAGATTTTTAATTATATTAGCTCTTAGGACCCGGTGCTGCCCAGGTTTGAGTTTTTAATTTTTTTCTAATTCTTAGGTTTTTAATAATATTAGCTCTTAGAAACTGGCATTGCCTGAGTTTAAGACTTTACCGTTATTCTAATTCTTAGGCCTCAATTATATTAGCTCTTAGAACCTGATATTGCCTAGATTCAAGATTCTAATATTTTTCTAATTCTTAGATTTTTAATTATATTAGTTCTTAGAACCTGGTGTTGTCTAGGTTTGAAGTTCTAATTTTTTTAATTTTTAGGTTTTTAATTATATTAACTCTTAGAACCTGATATTGCCTAGATTTGAGGTTCTAATGTTTTCTAATTTTTAGATTTTAATTTTATTAATTGTTAGATTTTAATTTTTTTTTAATTTTTAAATTTAAATTATATTAATTTTTAATAAGATTTTAATTTTTTAATTCTTTAAATTTAATTAAAAAAAATTAGATTTTAAAATCTGGGTATTGTCTGGGTTTAAAATCTAATTTTTCTAATTCTTAAATATTTTATTATATTAAAAAAAATATTTTTTTTTTAAATTTTATAACTCTTAAAACCTATTTAACTAATAATTTAACTTAGATTTAAAATAAATTTAGCTTAAATTCAAATTTTAGTATATTAAAGTCTAATAATATATCTAATTTGGTTTAGTAATTGTTAAAAAATTTACTGTTAGATATTAGATAATTTATAAAAAATTTAAAATTTTTTAATTTTTTTATATATTTTTAATGATTATTGCTAACTTGCCCCCTTGGTTATATTATTAAAGAGTACTATATTTTAAAAATATATTAAATAAACTGGATTAGGTATTTTAAGTAAAAATATTAAGAATTCTCAAAAATTTTATAAAAACTAAAATCAGAACTCTATATCTAATATACATTATATTATAAAAAAAAAATTTTTTTAAAACTACTTCCTAACCCTAAATTTAATAAAAGAAGTTATATTATTCATAGTTAAAAATAATTAAAACTTTTTTAAATTATTTTAATTATTTTTTTATTTTTTTATAAGTTTTTTTTTAATTTTTTATAGGGCTATATAATTTAGCACATCTGCACTATAATGCACCCATCTGATCAACAATCAGTTATAAGATCAGATATAATGTAAAATTGAAAAAAATAGTGATATTTTTAAAAAATTACTTGTAGCTCAAAATTTTAATTATAAAACTATCTTTTGTATTCTAACAAAAAAAAATTCTTTACAAAATTTTGGGTTAAAATTCTTTTGTTAAAATACACTACCCTAACTCTAACCTAACTCTTACTTTAATACTAAACTAACAAATTAATTATTGTTTTAATTTCACGTTATACCAGATCTTATAGGGTGCGTCACAATGCATAGATACTAAAATATAAAATTCTTTTTTATATATAAATTTTTTTTATATAATTGATTGTTTTAAATTAGCTTTAAATTATTTTTTAAATTTTTTTTAATTTTTTATATATATTTTTTTTAATTATTTTTTTATATATATTTTTAAGTTAAATTACTTTTTACTTTTTATATTTTTTTTAATTTTTTATATTGTTTTTTAATTATTTTTATATGTTTTTTAAATTATTTTTTTATATTTTTTTAATTATTTTTATTTTTTATATATTTTATTAAATTATTTTTATCTATTTTTAATTTAAATTACTTTTTTGTTATTTTTTAATTTTTTTTTAATTTTTTATATATTTTTTTTAAAAAAAATATTTTTTTATATTTTTTTAATTATTTTTATTTTTTTTCTATATTTTATTTAATTTTATTAATTTTTTTATACATTTTTTTATAATTTTTAATTAAATTTTATTTTTTATATATTTTTAAATTATTTCAAATTGCTTTTTTATTTTTTTATATATTTTATTTTTTAATTTATATAAATTACTTTTTTTATTATTTTTAAATTTTTTTTTAATTTTTTTTATATGTTTTTTTTTAAAAAAATTATTTTAAATTATTTTTAATTTTTTTTTTAATTTTTTATATATTATTTTTAAATTATTTCATTATTTATTTTTAATTTAAATTTTTTTTATTATTTTTAATTTTTTTTTATTTTTTTATACATTTTTTTAAAAAAATTATTTTAAATTATTTATTTTTTTAAATTATTTTAGGAGCTTCCACTTATTATGTAAATATACCCCCCCCTCAGACCCAGGGTTTTGAAAACCCCTAGAAACCCCTTACATAATTACCAAATGGTTGGTTAACGGTTTTATATGGCGCAGTAATTAACAGTTACAAGATTATATCATAACGGCCTCATTTGGCGCAGTAACTAACAGTTTTAACAGTTATTTTCCTCACAAGATTATGTCATAACGGCCCTATTTGGCGCAGTAACTAATGGTTCTAACGGTTATTGTCCTCACAAGATTGTCATAACGGCCTACATTAATTAATAGTTAACGGTTTTTCGAGATCATATCATAACGACCTTGTAGCGCAGTAAAAAACGGTTTTATAAAATATTACTTCCGTAATTTTTTTTTACCAATAAAACTACGTTATATTTTGGGTTAGAGTTGGAATAACTTTATGTCTAGCTGTAAAATTTCACAAGGAACATTTTTAATTAAGCCGCAGAAAGCAATTTCTTAATTAAAATTTTGAGTTATTTTGCTTCGATTATTTACGTTACACCTAAACTTGAAATTTGGTTGGTCAATCTTTGTGGATATGCTAGGAGGGTTGTTGATGGATAGATTAGCTGCGCAACCAAAATTCTGAATTTAGTGTCGGGAATAGGTTGGAGCTAGACCGGCATCAAAGAATAATATCAGCCCTCTATATTTAGGGTTGAAAATTACATTTTACAAATTTACAATACGTAAGTTTCAGTAACATGGATTTCATGTAAATTTTACACGTGATATATAGTACCGGCACTATTATTGAACTACAGTAGATTCTACATAAAGTTCACTGATCAAATCGATGTACATATGATCAACCAATTATATGAAACTATGTTACTGAAAACTTATGCTGAATTTCACAAAATTACAGTAATTTTACAACCCTGACTATATTATAGCAAAATTTTCATTTGGGCAGCTTTACTTAGTACATGGGCTGCCACTTTATTAGTAAATTTTTGGGTGATTTTAGGAAAATTTTATCAATTACGGCCTATTCCGTTTACAATAGTAATAACAAAAGTTACAAATTCAACAGCATGTTGGAAATAAAAATTTTATAATCGCTTACAAAATTTCTCAATAAATAATAGATAACAAATATACTCCGTATTGTTGCTAAATCTGTTACGAAAAAACATTTGTAGAGTTAGCAATGATAGTAATAATAAAGCATACATAAAAATGATTGTATACCCAAAATTATTCCCCTATATAGCGGTTAGAGTATCCTTCACGGATTTCACAGCCACCACAATATTTGCCCCAACTTTTACAACAATTGCGATAATCACTATAATATCTTTCACTATCTATCGAAAATTGCTCAAAAGCTTCGAGATTCAAATGTTTTTCTTCAGGTTGTTTCTGTTTTTGTTCAGCCATAAACAATTTCCTATTAACAATTAATAATTGTCAAAATATATATACTGTATGTGTTTAACAATCTTTAAAGAAACAAATTGCTAACCAGCCACTGGGTCCTTGTCATTCCAATCGCTCTTTTATTTCACAAGAAATGTTGTCAAAGAATGATTTGGCCACATTATAGGTCTTAGCGAGTGGCATCAAACCATCATCATCCTCCTCTTCTGGACCAAATTCAATGCCATCTACGCAATTTTCATCTTTAAGATTATGGTTAGGAGTAATCTTAACCTTTTTGGCAAGGTCTTTTTTGTTGCACTTGGCATTTGACATTTCAAAATTAAAATCCGATTGTGGAATGAGAATTTTACTGAGATCATATCTTTGGTTATGGTTTCTTCTACTGCCACGATCTCTGTCATTTTGTTGTACAAGATGGCCACTCCTTCCAAGAAGTTGGTTATTGCTTGATACTAAACAATTGTTACTTATAGCTATTATCGGATATACATTACATTAGTGTTGAAATGTCATTTTATTAAAATTCTAAAAAAAAGGAAGGCTAATTTAAAAGACCAACTCTGTACAAGGTTTATAGTTGAGCCTGCAAAATTGATATTGTTAAGTATGTCTACGTAACGTATATCAGGTCTTGATATGAGACTGATCGTGTACCCAATATATTTAACACTGTTCATCTTTGTCTCATACTAAGAATGTTAAGATTGAAAGCAGCCTATTTTGTCGACAGAACTTCTAGATTACAGTTGGAAAAAGTACTAATTTACCGGCCTATTACACAATGCGCCGTGATATGCATTAGTAAGTTCCTAATTTTACACGTGGTTTGCATAATCTCCGAAACGGCTATCTTGATTATCCAAAATGTGCAAAGTATAGACTAATGATAGTAAAACCATTCACGTTTGAACACCTCTTTCACATCAGTATTTGGGCTGGAGAAATAACAAGAATCTAAAAAAAAACAATAATAAAAGAGGTTAGAAATTGGGTTCACATAAAATCTTTTTTTTTTTTGATTTTACCTTTTTTTTCATTTATTTATTTTTTTTTTTAATTTTTTAATTTTTCTAAATTTTCGGTTTATAAACTATTTTTTAAAAAATTTTCATTTTTTAACTTCCATTTGAGTGCTGCTAATGGAGAAGGGTACCTTGGTCTTTTAAGTATATTATTGATTATTTATCTGATTCACCCTTTTGATCGACACACATCGGGCTTTCATTAGATAGTTCAAAACTGCGTATTGTATTGCTGTATGGTATATCGTGATCGATTAATTTAAAGTCGATGTGTCATTGATCAGAGGATAAATAATCAATAATATACTTGAAAAACAGAGATGCCTTTTTCTCTCGGCAGCATTCATTAATTTTTGAAAGACATTATAATGATAAGTATGCCAATTAATAAATGTCATAGTTAGAGATAGGCAAATTGAACATTTTTTGAATTTACTGCGCAGGATGCGCAGCCTACGGCATTATGCAAGCTGACCAGGATTATGCCAACTGACCAGAATCATGCTAGCTGGCCTAAGTGTTAAAAATAATAATACGCAGCCTTTCAAAAATCTGCGCAGTGATCCATCCCTAGTTATGGCTGATGCTGATTTTTGGAGATCTCAATTTGGATTCATTACACCTATTAAAACCCACATATACTCGTATTTGGCTCTAAATTCTAGTCTAAGCAATCAACGTGAAAAACGTTTAAAAAACAATAATCGCCTGTAACTCGAGCTTTTGCCTATTAAACTGCCTTCTGCGTACTAATTAAAAGTTTTCCTTGCAAAATTTTGGTATAAGTACAGCCCTCTAAACCTAACCTACTAACAACACCCTAACCTTTAATAGCAAAAGAATTTTTTTTAGCAAAATATTTTTACTGAAATCATACTAGTCTCAATAAAAAATGCATTTCCAAAAAATTATAAAATTTTGTATTAAAATAGGTTCCCAAAAGCAGAATCAGCCAAAATCAGCATCGGCCGTAACAATAAACATTCGCCAGCACTAACCTAGAAATATAACATAATGATAAATATTGAAATCGCACCTACCTGAAATTACTAACCAGAACATCTGG